ATGGGCAGTCCCTGAATGCACCAGAGCAAAACTCACCACATCACTGTGTGTCGTGTACAGATTATCCGCCAGACTTTCCAGAGCAAGCCACTTCACAGGCAGCTTGGAAGCACAGCCCTGACGGTAGTAGTCTCCACTGTAGATTTTCTTAGAAAGCCCGAAGTCTGCAACACTCACGTTCATGTTTTCATCCAACCTAAGGGCAAGTTTTCATGACTGAGAAAAGCATTTACTGGCTACCTCAGGCAAGAAAGAGTTATGTCCCTGTCTGGCCAGGGAGCTTGGTTATATAGTTCACCAAGTATTGCCCAGAAGGATAATGACTTCATCTGCTTGATGACCAATGTGAAATAGTTTAGTGGTCTCAAATCAGTTCCTTGAGACTAACAGGGAGATAATTAGGCCTAAGGAAGTAAAGAAATAGCCGTGCTTAGATGGCCTACTCTGTCAGCCATAGTGAAGTCAGATACTTTCTGTATTTTCCAAGATTAAGAGAGGACATCTGTAGTGCTCATTGCTACCACTAAGGCCTACAGCCTGTACAGGCAATAAAAAAACATAGATGCTTGCCTAGACTGCCCATTATATCTGCTCAAACTAGATCTGCAAGTTGTTCTTTCCAGGCCTGTTTAATGGTCTCAACTGCTGTCACCCACTTAAACCTAGACACGTTGGTAGACAGTGCAAGTAAAGCCCACAAAGACTTCATGCTCCCAGGTCTCATAAAGGACTCTCTTGCTTTTCCCAGAAGATCTGATGAAATAGCCATTCCATACTGAAGGAAGTCTGTATTTTTTTTAAAGGTATAAAAATAGGAAATCAGTATGCATTTCTCATAAATGTCAAAGCAGGCTAACCCATCGTTTTTCGTTATGACTATCAGGCTCCTGTCTGTACATCTGGACATTCAAATGCCTTTGGAAATCTGTGTCTCATTGTGGATTTTACCCATTGTCGTGGTTTTGTTCAGAGGCAGAGTTCTGTCTGCCAAAATAGGTTGTTTCTTACTCTGTTCTCAGGGAAGAAGCAGAGAAGAAAGGATAAAAAAAGACTTTTCTTCCTTTCCAAGCAGGCAAGGCAGTTTGGGGACAAGAACAGCACTGTGGGATCATACAGTTATGTTTACCATAAAATTATTTCTAAAGGCACTCTCCACATAAGCGATTCTTCACAAGATTTCAGGGCAATTCTACATTTCTTATACTGTGATAATCAAGTCCTCAAAATAGATACAAGAAATACAGATTTTAGGCTACAATGAAAGTTCCTTTCTCCTAACACAAGCAAACCCATTCTCTCCTGTTGGTTACATTATATTGTGGAACAAATAGCCCCTGCTGACACACAGCCATTAGAGTGACTAATTACAAACACATACTGTAACCAACCCTATGAAAATATATGTGAAGACCAATGATGGAAAAGTTCCTTATAAATAGGGTCAATTTGGAAGTGGGACATTAGGAGCAGCTCCCTGCTCCCAGCACCACCAACACCCCCCCCACCCCCCACAGCCATGGCTCCCCTTTGTGTATTATCACCTAAATGCAAGGACCAGCATCCTTGGACAGGATCTCCCCCCACTTCTGTCACGTGAAAGGCTTCTCATCCCCCTCTCACCCACCCTGGTCCTTCTTTTCTCTGAAAACTCACGGGTCACTTACATGCAGTTCCGAGCTGCAAGGTCCCTGTGTATGAAATTTTTTGAGCTCAAGTACTCCATCCCACTGGCAATGTCAATCATGAACTTGAGGAGTGTCTGAACAGGCAAGTTCTGAAAAAAATAGTTTAAGTTCTGTTCCTAGAAGCTTTCAAGCATGTATGGCAAAACTGTAAGACTTGCTGCTAGATTACTGAGCAGGGATGGGGTATATGGGGAGGGGATGGAACGGGGGAGCTGCTCCTCAACATGCATGGAATTAAATACTTCAACGCTTCAACATCACATCCCACAATTTCCTCTGGTATTAAAATCTGGTCATCTGCCAATGCCTTTGGGAGAGCAACCCTGAACTGATCCGACTACATTCTCTGAAAATCCATACCCTCCCACAAGGAATTCAGAAGTAAGAGAGCCTTACAAAGGGGTTTTCCCCAATCCGTGACATCAGCAGAAAAGCATGAAGGTCTCCATGCTTCATGAAGGGCAGGATCACCATTGGAATTGGGAGTCGGCCCTTGGGACGGCTCCGTAGACTGACTCCTAACGAGGACACACAGCAAAGGGGTTTTAGCAAACAGATCAGTCCCAAGGGGAATCTTACGGCTTTCTCTTACCAGTTTGGAGGAAAATGTGCAGTTTTGGTGGGTCAGTTCTATGCTCCAAGCTCCTTTGTACGGCTTCATGCCAGGAGGTGTTAAGACACCTCTAACCCTGTTTGCTTCAGAGGCGGCACTAAGTGCCCAGTGGCTCTCGGCTCTCCTTGCAGGACTGGCTAGAAATGTTTCTAGGATCACTCCAGACCAGACAGCCCCAAACCCCAGGGTCTGCAGAGCAATCTCCACAGTCTGGAAAAAAGCCCACCCATGAATGTCTTGCTTTTTACCCAGCATTTCGGAAAGGCACAATCTCCTCTCCCTCTATTTGCCTACCAACCCACCCGTCCGCATTTCACAGCGCTGCAGGCATTTCTCAGCCAGCCAAACTCTCTTTGTAGTTTTTGCAAGAACCAAAGAAATGGCTTAAATAAGAGATGCTTATTGCTGGTGTATGAGGGCAAGTGGTGTGTGCACTCACGCACTCCAACCCCCTCTAGGCCTGGGAAGGAGCAATGCTGATACGTGCAGGGCTCCAGGCAGCACAGAGGTGGCTGCACTAACGGTGCTGCTGCACAGCAGCGGGGTGACTTTGTGAGGCTGCGTGGGACTGTGCAAGATGGGGAAGAGGGAGTTCTCCGAGGCCCCACAAGCAGCAGTGCTGGCTTACCAATCAGCTTAGTGACATGTGGGTGGTCAAACTCCTTCATACATGCAGCCTCTCGCAGGAACTCTTCAATGTCGGTCGAGGTGAAGATATCCGCTGGAAAAAAAGTGACTGTAAGTTTTCCTCTTAGGAAAAGGTTCCCAGGGGCTCTACTGATAATAAGAAGCTTGTTCTTTGTGGCACAGCACATCCTCTCAGACCTATAGCTCGATGAGCCAGTTTACAACAAAGCAGAGCCTGACACTTTCTCCTAGGATGGGTGGTAGTAGGCACACATCAGGGACACCTGGTAAATTGATTCTTGCCAGAATAAAGACCTGCTGATTAGCAGCTCTCTTCTCAGTAACAACTCTCCTTGGAAGCCACGGAAATCATGCGTGCGTTAAAGAGGTTAAGAATCAGTTAGCTAAAAGGACCTAAACTACAATGTTGGGGAGAAGAGATGTCACACAAAATTGAAGAAAATGTTGAAACTGGGGAGATGGCCTGGAGCCCCTGGCTGGCACGGCAGACCCCAATTCATCCCTGATAAGGATGGCATGAAAGATCAACACTTCTACGTCTCTTAGCATGACTGAGTCTTCTAAGGTGCCGGAGCTATGATTTCTTAAAAAACCACACTACTGGAGAGCTTGAACCAAATTTTCAGCAGTGACATACATCAGCATAAATCTGGACTAAATTATTTCTCATTGCTATTACTCCAGATGTATGGAGGTTTATCAACATAAACAAGAATTAGCCCATTGGACTACTTCCCCCACTGCTGCTGCTGCATTTAGCGGGCGTCCTCCAGTCCTGCTGCAAGATCAGACTCAGACCTGTAGGAAGTTATTCACATTATCTGCTTTAGGCAAGTAATATGATTGAGAAGACAAAAGTAGATTCCCTTTTTACAGTCAATGTAGAAAGGAAGGTGCCTCTGGAGGGTGACAGAGAGTTCCCAAGTTAGATGCCTGAAGGCAGACAGTCAGACTATACAAAAGCTTGCAAACTGGTTAGAATTATTGCTGAAACTGGAGAAAATTATGCAACTTAACACTAATGTGGTATTAGTATCTTTAGTACAAAGCAGTATTCTGTGGCAGACAAACTCAGCTCCAGAGATAAGTGAGTGTGAATTAAAGCTCTGCTTTAAGTCAGTCACAGTTAGTTTTTGCCTTACAGCCAACAGGGGTGAAATAACATAGGTTAACATACACATACATACATGCACATACTTGCTTTGACTTACACCTATCTATTAATCACTTTTCTTGTTATAGACTTCTGCCTGATGAACATGTTAGTTGCCCTTGTTATGCACACTCATTAGATGACAAATCAGAAGGGAGTTAGACTACTTAGTCAAATATGCTTGGCCGAGTTAGCTTGTCACTGCACTCAGCCCAAACACTCTTCTGTTTATTCTGGGATATATGCTTGGAGGAATACCATCTTTCAGTGCTGAATTATTAGGGCACAGCAGACCTGTCTGAGCAGTCTGTGCCAATGATGTAGTGCTGTGTTGAATCAAGCAACTAAACGAGATCCTCTATACAACAGAAGCAGCTGTAGCTATGACTTGGTCTTGGCTGCACTCACCACGTGCTAGGTGCTGTACAAGCAACTAAGGTGGTAAGGTCCTTCCCTGAAGAGCTTCCACTACAAAAAGACTGACATGAAAGGGATGGGAGACAACATGGGTAGAGTGGCTGAGTGGGAAGCTCAGAGAGGAGTAAAGAGCATCAGGGGTTGTTTGCTGGAGAACAGGACAGAAAGCATTTAATCTTTCCAAGCTTTCTTCTCTTAAGTACTTCAGATAGCTCTGCTCCCACTTACCTTTCAGCATCTTCACCGCCACTTTCTGGAAAGAGCCATCTTCTAGCTTCAGTAGTGCCTCTCGAACTGACCCAAACTCCCCTGTGAAATGACCAGAGCAGGCAGTGAAGGAACAGCTTCTTGAGAAGAAAGTATGATTCACATCAGGTTCACTCCAGGGGTCACTGGCAAACAAGCTGAATAACCATAAGAAATGCAGCTACCAGCTTCATTTTTCATTCTGCAGTTCCAGCCAGCAGCTTTCAGCATACATGCCTAGAAGAGGTAGCCCTACCAGTAGACAGAGGCCACTGTGCTGGCAGTCCAGAAGGCAAACAAGAGGGAAAGAAAGCAATCCTCTACCAGATGGACGATGCAGAGTCAGAATATAAGCTGGGATCCCAGGCAGACATTTCTGCAGAAGGCGTATCATGAGGGATGAGTGAGAGAGGCTCTGGTCAGAGAGGGGGCTAAATAGCTGCAGCAGTGAGTGGATGGGTTGGCTAAGGAAGCTCTCAGTGCTGACAGCCATCAGAGCGGAGTAATGGTGCCAGGACTGTCTAAATCTGTCTCTAAACTTGAAAGATATGGATTTGATGGGTGGACTGTTGGGTGGATCAAGAATTGGTTGGATGGTCACATCCAGAGAGCAGTGGTCAATGGCTCAACGTGCAGATGGAGATCAGTGATGAGTGGTGTATCTCAGGGGTCAGTATTGGGACCAGTACAGTGGGATTGAGTGCACTCTCAGCAAATCTGCAGATGACCAAGCTAAGTAGTGCCATTGACATGCCTGAGGGTTGGGATGCCATCCACAGGGACCTGGACAAGCTCGAGGAATGGGCCCATGTGAACCTCATGAGGTTCAACAATGCCAAGTGCAAGGTCCTGCACCTGGGTCAGGGCAACCCCCGGTATTAGTACTGGCTGAGGAATGAAGGGATTAAAACCACCCCTGCCGAGAAGGACTTGGAAGTACTGGTGGACAAAAAGCTGGACATGAGCTGGCAATGTGCGCTCTCAGCCCAGAAGGCCAACTGTATCCTGGGCTGCACCCAAAGAAGTGTGGCCACCAGCAGGTCGAGGGAGGGGATTCTGCCCCTCTACTCTGCTCTGGTGAGACCCCACTTGGAGCACTCTGTCCAGCTCTGGAGCCCTCAGCACAGGAAAGACATGGGCCTGTTGGAGCGGGTCCAGAGGAGGGCCACAAAAATGGTCAGAGGGATGGAGCACCTCTCCTAGGAGGACAGGCTGAGAGAGTTGGGGCTGTTCAGCCTGGAGAAGAGAAGGCTCCAGGGAGACCTTATTGCAGCCTTCCAGTACTTAAGGGGGGCTTCTGAGAAAGATGGGACAGACTTTTTAGCAAGGCCTGTTGTGATAGGACAAGGAGTAATGGTTTTAAACTAAAAGAGGGCAGATTTAGACTAGATATAAGGTAGGTGTTTTTCCCAGTGAGGGTGGTGAACCACTGGCACTGGTTGCCCAGCGAGGTGGTAGATGCCCGATCCCTGGAAACTTTCCAGGTCAGGTTGGACGGGGCTCTGAGCAACCTGATCTAGTTGAAGATGTCCCTGCTCATTGCAGGGGGATTGGACTAGATGACCTTTAGAGGTCCCTTCCAACCCAAACTATTCTATGACTCCATGACTCAACCACTTGAGACACAATCAGGCTTAATCTCTCAAAACTCACAGAAGGACTTCTATGAATCACAACTGACCAGACAAAACATAGAACACCTACTTATGTGTGCATGTTACGCTAATTCACAGGAAGAAGTGTTTACCCTGGTGTGTCCTCTAAGGGAGATAAGAGGAAATGCAACTAGCCAAATCCTCTTCAAATTATTTTAGCCTGAAATGGCTTTATACCACAGAGTAACAGCCTCTTTGCATTAGATCTGGCTCTAGATTTGCTCTGCCTAATTTTGTAACTACTTATCCCACCCAAAATTTGTATGAGGAACTCAGGTATTGAAAAGAAGTAAGCAAAGTATGGCACTCAGGACACCTACCCCAAATACCTTATCTTTCCACTAGCTTTTCACCAGCGTCCTTCACTGCTGAACGGCACATGCTTATTTCACGAGCAGTGGATCTGACCAGAAAAGAGGTAAATGGGAAGGAGCAAAGGCGTTTTGTGCTGCTTCCATGTTATGCAGCTTGTTGCTCAGCTGTAGAACTGCAGATAATGCAGTCATGCCATCTTATAACCTGTATGCTGAGGGGGAATGGGGGGAACGGGTCTGACAACACAGACCAGATCCTGCCAGCTGGCATCTTCCCACCAAGGCCATCCCCAGGGGCCCCAGTGCAGCCAACTTCCAGTTTGTTACCTGTGATGAGGACAGCCCAGAATGGTTGAAGCAGGATCACAAAAACTGGCCAAGAGCTGACACTCACAAACAGAGGACACATCTGCTTAATTACTTTGTTAAGCCCTCCGAGACCACTTCTGCAGGAAGGTAATCTTCCTGCTCTGAAAGAAACGCATTTGTTCTAGGAGGGATGGAGCGAAAGAATGCTCCCAGTGGGAAAGTGTCAAAGAAAACTGCAATAAGACTAGTCTTATAAATAAAAAGGAAGCCAAACATTTCAGCTTCCTGTTGCTTATGATCCCTGACTTATGCTCCTCTCTTACTTATTGGCCTTATCATGACACGTTTTCACTTATTTCTAGAGATTGCCTTCAGCCTGAGAAGTAGGGGAGGATGATTCAACAGTTAGCACACTGGTCTATCAACTGGGAAATCTAAATTCAAAACCATTTTTTCACACAGAGTTTCTGGGCCAACCTTTTAGCTAAAGTTAAGTGAGAAGCATCTCACCTTTACTCTGCCCATCCCTCCTGACCTGAAAACCTCAGAGAAATGTTAGGAGCACCTGTGTGGGAGATCCAGATGGAGATCCACAGTCAGAAGAGCTCCTATGGACCTGAACTAATGAGGACAAATGTCAGCAAAATTCACTACCTGTTCCAAATGTGCCTCTGTAAGAGCCCAAACTAAAATCTGGAGTCAAACCACCCCAGGCGTTGAGAATATCTGAAACTGAATCAACATTTTTTGAAAGGCTGGAGTGTTTGAGGTAGATCATCTCTGTCTCTGTATTGTCTCAGCCCGTTTAATACCTGACACATGCTTATGTAAATAGAAGGAATTCTATAGCACCACTTTGTTAGTAGAAAGAGCAGAAGTTTAATTGATTATTCCTTTGTTTAAATCTCTGAAAGGAATTCATGCACCAGTGAATCAACAGTACTTTGGAAAGCTGAGCATAGGCTGAAGTTCATGACTCTGTAGAGCCATATTATAGGAATGGCTTAGCCAATATCCTCTTAGTTATGCTAAACCTTTGAAATGTTTTATCCCAGCAGAAGGGAAAGTTCCATTTAAATTGCCATCTACAAGCAGAAGGAGAGAAAACAAGCTGCTTATAATTGCTTCTCCCTACTCAAGAGCAAAGGTAACAGAAATGGGATTTTCAATGTAAAGCCTTGTTCAGGTTTGGTTCTTACCCTTGCCCAACATTCTTCCCAAGGTGAACTGCTGTTCCTGGATTAGGACATCTTTGAGTTTTGTCTTCAGCTCATCACTGATCCCTACGCTCTCCACTGGAAAAACCAAAGGAAGAATCAAATAAGGGATACTTAAATACTCTATCGCAACATCAAGAGTCACTTGTTCTAATCTCCGTCTCCAATCCAATTCCCATACTTTATGCAGGAAAATCTGCAAAAGACCAAGTTTCCTTCCCTGTCCTCTAGCCTCACTGCAGACAAGAGGACAGTGACTGTCAACCACAAGAAAATGTACCAGCAGTACTGAAATGGAGAGGGTGTGATAACACCACCCTTAAACACATCAAGAGCAACAGGAATACAGAACTACTGTAAATAATGCTGAGAAGGCAAAATCCAATCAGAAGGGACACTGATAAGACACTGGTTCATACAACTTCGTTTAAGTTGATGGAGCTGCTGCAGTTTTTACTGACTGGCGCTCAGACTATTTTAAGTACAATACAAGTCTCACAGTACCTGGCTGGGCTGAGAGGATCACGGAATGTCCAACAGTTTACAGTCACTAGATTTAATGGGGAGACCTCTAAACCCAGGGGAGCAAAGTCAACGACAGCTGAAGCATCATCCTAACTCAGCCATGCAGTGCTGCTACAGAGAGCCATGCCCTTGCTGAACCAGGAGACAGAAATGGATCATCTTAACTCTGGCCATTGCTGGGACTCAATCTCCTGTTTGAGAAGTTACTAATTCCTGGCCTTTCAAGACTGATTAATTGGTTCATGCTTGTAGCACAGCTCAGCACACTGAGTTTGAAGCATACTGCTAATATTGTTAAGCCGTATTTATCTCACTGTTGCATAATATTACAGTCGGAGGAGTCCCTGTAGAGTGAAACTGGGGCAGGGGAGTGGCGAATTTACGCTTTGCGCTAATATACACAATGACTGTAGCTGTAATTAGCAAGCGCTATGTAATTGGTGTGGCAACAGCAGTTCTGGCCTTTCACCTCTGCCATCCAGAGTGTCTAAGCCTCCTTGTCAATTAATCCCACGTTCTTGATCCAAAAACATCAGTTTCAGGGAAAACGAAGAGACAGCATAGTACATGCATGAACACAGCTTCTCAGGCAGAATCACTCAGGTCATTTTACTTACATGTTGCTTCAATGAGCTCTGGGCCCTCCCTGTTAAAAGACCTGGCGGCTCTGAAATGGACTGCTGGATCACCTCTGCCAACCACACTGCCAAAGGCATGGCTAGAAGGCAGAAAAGACACACAAGGGTTATGGATTACAATGGGTCATTCACTTCTAAAACGGTGTGTTGAACAGTATGGATGATCTCTCACCCCTTGCCATATAAATACTACAGACTGTTTTGTTAAAGAGGGTGTAGCTGGAAAGGAGTAATGACAGGTTTATGCTGCCTTGCTGATGCACCTAGAGGGGGTGGGAGCCTCCCAAAAGAGGGGAATCACTCGACCAGACCAGAGCGCCTGGGAGAAGCTGCAGGTTGGGGCAAGTTACGAGAGCCACATAAACAGAGATGCTGCTGTGGGAGGGAGGTCTGGGAGTCTCAGAAAAGAATGGTAACCTTGCTTGCAGCAGGCAGCAACCCACAGCCAAGTGTGAGAGGTGATGGAAAGGAGACTTTCCTGGGGATCCAAAGGGTTCTGGGCAGTCAGGAAGTTACAAGCAGCTGATAGACTGAAAACTAGCATGGGATAAAAGGGCCCAGTCCATAAGAACACAGAAGATGATTAATCTGTGGGTCTTTTCTCTTTGAATCTCTTAAGCAGCAGTGCTCTAAGGACTTACAGAATTACCTTGATCTCATTTATATTTCCATATTCTAATAAAGCCCAGCTATTGACATAACATTTTTTCTACTGTATTTTTGGTATTCTCATTTTGAAGAAAAGGTAGGGCACTTTCCTGTGAGTCTCTAATACAGGGTCACCCCTCAAATTGTGAAAAAACAGTTATCCAAAGAAAGTGCCAAAAGTACTCAATCAACAATGGTTTTTGAAAAATAATTGAGTCAGAAACCACACGAGAGGAGAAAGAAAAGATCTCTTTAGCAGAAGGAGAACCTCCCTTACCCAAACCGAGTCTCCTTTCTTCTTTTTCGAAGGAGAATAAGAGCCAGGGCAACAGCTGTGACCAGAGCTGTGAGAATGCCCAATGCCACAGGAACCCAGGATGTTCCATAAGGAGGTTGTCTCTGGCCACCTAGATGACGGAGAAAACACCAGTCAGGAAATAGAAGACTGTCAATGGTAAACAGACCATACTGGGATATTTCTTCTTTTTGCTTTTAAATGGAAAAGCCATGCTGCTGGATCTGGTGTACACAGTGAACCATTGTACACTGGAATTTGGCATAAACAGCTACTCAGTCAATCATCACAAAAACTATCTGTTTCACACAGCAAAGTCAGAGCAGATGCATCCAGTTATCAGAACTTATTCTTAGTTTTGAGCCTCAAGAAAGTAAAAGGTGCTGTTCCAGATTATACTACTTTACATGAGCTCAAGATCTGGAGCGCTTTAAACTGGAGTCTCAGGACAAAAAGGTTGCTTAATATGAGCATGTTCTGTGCAGGTTTCACCTTGTCCTGTTTAAGGCAGCCAGCAGAACCTTGACCAGGATACACAGTACTGCCTGAATGCCAACCAGATAACATTTTGAAAGACAATAGAGAAAGACAATTGCCTCATGGCAATCTGGTTGAAAATATTTACATTTGCTCTCTCACCCCTCCCACAAAGAGAAGCACCCTGTGGGACTTGGTATTGGCTGTAACTTCCCAATGCTGTTGGTTGGTTGTAACTTCTCAATGTCTCTCTGCCAAAGAAAAGGTGAATTTTAAAAAGTGCCCTGCGAGTCAAGAAATAAGTTAGGCAGCATGCAGGTTCCAGTTCTGGTCTAATGTTTGCTCCCAGAGCATGTATCCTTTTGACTACAAATTGTCTACAGAAGAAATGGAGATGCTGCCAATCTGAGTAAGCTGCCAGAGAAGGGAGATAAGCAATATGGTTATGAATAAAAGAATATTAACTATGCTTGGAAAACAACAGATAAATTAATCCAATTCCCTGAGAGATTTCTTCTCCAAATACAATTACTAAAGATTAAATGGGAATTTGAATGGGTTTATTAAAATCTCGGATAGCCCTCATATCTCCAAATTGTTTAAGAGCAAACAAGAACGGTTAACAAGTCCTAAGCACCTCCCTCATCCTCACGCTCCCTTGCTCACCTTCAGCAGTTGACTGTGCTTTACCAGAAGCTAAGGAAGAATCATCTTTGATGATGCAAGTAATCCTATTATGTTATATGTCCTGAGACTATAAGTAAACCTGTCCTTAAAAGAGGCGTTCGGTTAATGGGCTGAGATTTAGATGAACCTCTGCACACATGTATGTGAAGAGGAGTCAGACATCCTTACTGGCAGAGTCCTGGCAGGCAAAAGGCTTCTACGGCTCGAATACTAGTTACATTGTCGAGTCTTATCCTTCAGGTTTTTAAGAAGCACTGTTAGTCTAACAAACAGGGAGAGCTTAAGGAAACAGAATTCTGGACCAGTGAGGAAGCAGACTAGTACTCCTCCACTTCAAACAAATTATCAGGGCTTTAGCACCTCTTTTCCAGCATCTTATCTCCTTTAGTGAATCACATATTCTTTTCCCACCCAGAAGTTTTTATAGGCTCTGGGTTTTACGATAATCCCTCTTGCTGCACCTTTCCACCAGCCTTCAAGGCTGCTTATGAGGAGGGAGAGGGATCAAAAACAGAAGTGGAATGAAAATACAACGAAAGGTAACTCCAACCCTCTCCACAGTTCCCAAGCCAATCACTTGGGCCGTTTCTGCCAAACAATCAGGGTAAAAAACAATTAACAGCAGCGATGTAGAAGGTCCTCAGTAAGATTTCCTTCCTCCTACGGTGAGACAAACCTCCCTTGGCCCATTTTTCTAGTCTCTGTCTGCTACCTGGCCTGGTGAAAGAGCAGGGATTTAGGTCATCTTCCAGGGGGGTCCCTCCAAAAGGAGGACGGATGAAAACAAAACAAACTAAATTATTCTCCCTGTTACTAAACTACTAGGAATCAGGAGCCCACCCTACAGTTTATAGCAAATATGGCAGAAATAGAAATGAATGTTGAAATTCGCTGCTTCTCCTCCTCTGCCCCACAGGTCATTGCTTCCCATTCGTGCCACTGAGCTAGAGAGGATGGCTACAGCCCAAGTAAAGACCGAGTTGCCTCTCCTCCCCCAACTCTGTCTCTCCCCCATCTCCTGCATCCCTCTTTTCCAACTGGCATATGCCTTAAGACTGCACAAGATAGAGAGAAGACAGTATTATTAGATGAGCTTAAATGAGTATTTAGGAGCCCTTTGATGATGAGATATTTTTATTTCTGTAGCAGGTTTTATATCACAAAGGTGTGCAAACAACATAATCCAAGAGTCCTCTCCTGCATACAATCATGAAGATTACAGATAGGAAAAGATAGGCAAAAGCTATTAGAATATTCTGTTCCTCTCCGCAATGAAAGAGAGAGGCTTCTACCAAGAATGTTTCCGAAAATATTAAAACAATCTTTCTTAATAGTGCACAGGATCTCTGCATAAGCAGGGTGGAGCTCCCACAAGCTTTGCTGTGATGACAAATACAACTTAAAGTTTATACAAGCTTAGTCATCCCTACTGCCGCACTGGGAGCTGGTCAGAAACCACTCCTGGCATTTCTCACATAAAGCAACCAGCGCCAGTCTGCTATTTTAGGAAAGGAAGCAACTTAAATTTTCTACCAGGCCTGAAACAAAACTGCAGTCTTTCTGCAGCTCTGTGGTTTAAGGCCTGTCAGTGTTTCCACAGTGAACCTTTAATTCCAGCCTGTTATGCTGGTGAAGAAATATAGGTGCTTTCAGACAGCATTTGGCCAAAACAAGCACCACTCCTGATGCTACTCTTTTTGAAGTGGTTTGTAAATAAAAACAAGCAAACTTATTGTGCTTTCAGGGTTATCCCATTCCAGCTCCCTGTAAAATGCAAATCCTCTGCATTTCCTGGGGCTTCTTGCCAGTGCTGGCCATTTTCCAAAGGGATCTTCTAGTCCTTTCAGGTACTTTTCTCTGCATTTGGGTGCCACAGAAAATACCCAAGCAAAAAGCATGAGAAAAAAATTGATGGAGCCGATGCCTAACCTTTAGTAGAGTCAGCTCTGGACCTCTGCACCCCTTCATTCTGCTTTAAATAATGTGAGGGCTTTGATCCCACAGTGACTGTGTGGTCAAACATAACCATCAGTACTGACTACATCACAAGAACCAGGTTGCCAAGGGCCCTTTCTGAGCGATGTGCACATTAAAACCAGCGTTAGATCCACTACTGCAAGTAAGGCTACAGTTCTCTCCTGGTTACTCTTATCCCCACCTCCTGCTTGCCTGGGAACCCCACTCTAGGTTCCTCCTGTCATCACTAGGTGTGGAGAGATCAGGAGGGATCAATGTCCATGTGATTCCTCAAAAGACACGTGGAGCGGGAAGAAAGCAGCAGCAGGTGGGTCAGCATCAGAGGTTAGAGATTGCTGTTGCATCCTGCCACAAGCGCTGGGCACAAAACCCCAGGAGACTGTGGGATTTTTGCATGATTGCACCTCACAAACTTCTTATCACCAATACGTATTTTTACACAGAATGTCTCCCTCTTCGTTGTTTTACAGTGTCCTTCACAAGCAGCATCCTCGTCTTCTACCCGTCTCCCCACATGACATCCTGCCTTTCTCCATGGCCCGACTCTCATTTCCCATTCACTGAGAAATACAAGCAGGAAGCAAGCCAGTGCAGATGAGCCTAACTGTCCTTTATCACCAGGCATACACTCCACACATGCATGTTCTTTGCTTCCAACAAACCCTTCCATGTGGTCCAGGTTGCACGGTACAGCTTCTGTACCATCATCTCCCTCTTCTACCAGCAGCTCAGCTCTTCCATGGAGAGAACTAAACTGGTTTAACATAAACACATTCAGTAAAACCATTACAAAGCTCCACGAGGCTACGGTTTAAATCAGGCTCAAATGAAACTTGTCAGGAATGGCTTCAAATTAAATCAAAGAAGAGAACCTATGTAGAGGAGTTTTCTGTCTCATTTACTCTTGTAAATGTGTGTGGCTTAAGCTTAAATGAAGGATTTCAACCCTTTGTTTGCACCTTTTCCGTTGTGTCTCCCCTTGCCCTGCTTTGCACTAAGCACAGCAAAAGCCTGTTAAAGATGACACAGCAGTGGCCAGAAGCTGTTGTATTCATACCAGCTCTTTAAATATTATTTAATTTCTACTCTGCTTGATGAACTGTGCTGTCGTATAAAGCCACGTGGCTCAGTCAGCTGTAAGCAGTGAAAGGAGAAGAGTCGGAGAAAAACAGCAGTCCCAGCACTTCGGATTTTTTCCCCCAAACTGAGGCAAAGGCAGTGGACACTCACCCATGACCTCTTGGGCTTCAAGCAGGAAGAGGTCACTCCAGGGCCCGCATCCTGCAGAGTTCAGCACACACACCCTGATGATCAGGTCTTTGAGAGGATTCCACGTTGTGAGGTTAGCTTTTGTATCCTGTACGATCATCTCCCCCTGAGAGCAAACGGCAACAATCTGTAGGTTGTCTTAAAAGGAATCTAGTCTAACACTTCACCTTTAAAACAAAACCAAAACATCACTGTGTACTTCATTGGTGCTATAACAAGAGTTGGGGGTTGTGACTCCTGGGCTCTAGTCTCAGTTTTGCCACTAACTTGGGCTGTCATCTTGGGTTTCTCTTTTTGAAAA